CCCTCTCTCTTCATAAATGATTATGACATGTACAATCAGGTAACCATTGTAGTAAACTTCTCATGACTTGTCTTATAGTACTTACAGGGTGGTCCACAGACTCCTTCCTTTGTTTTGCTTATACTATACCGGATGCAGGCGTGTGGATGGGTTGCATACTCACACGGGGCCATGCATAAGGCACCGTGGTGATCGACGGTAGGCAAGCCCGCACGCACGCACGCCTCCATGCGGTGCAGTGTAAGCAAAACAAAGGAAGTGGTCTGTGAATCACCCTGTATATCTGTCTTGTGAAATCTGAAACTTTTTGCTGGTCAGTTTAATTTTTTACTTCTGATATTTAGTCTTAAAAAATTACCATTGTACTATGAAAGAGTTTTGCATTGAAGACCAAGTTGATTGTTCTATTTTGTTCGATACGGACTAAAAAATAAAAAAAATGTCTCCAGTGTCAGTTAAGCTACAAAAATAAGCGATTCATACTTATCATTGCTGTATTAATATCAACCATAAGTGACTGATATTTGTAATTAAAAATTTATCTAACTTGTTGTATCAGGTTCCAGTGATGTGATTATGCCACTCCTATTTTACCGCACACACTTTGAATCATTATTTGGAGCACTGATGCGCTGTGACGCCCTTACTTCCGCGTGCTGCTTCACTGGGCATCCAATGGGGTAGAGGTCCAAACTGCACTCTGTCATAAAATGTCTCGTCTTTATTCATTACGGTGACGGGATTGTAAGGAGAGGGAAGGGGAGAGGGTCCCGTGGACACCCGTGCGGTGCGCGCCGCGGTCTACATAAGCAGCCTCACTTCGCCGCTATCGAGTGAACACGTTCAATAGCTGCCATGATCGGACCAGTACTCGTCCTCCTGGCCCTGGGGTCGACCCAGGCCGGCAAACTTGGTGAGTTGCTAGTCGCTACTGAGTTGTAATTTAGAGTAAATCAGTAATTCAAAACTGTGCGGATACTATACAGGGTGGCCCAGAAACCCCAAAGTACCGCATGCAGGGGAGTGGGCGCGTTGCTTATTCGCTAGGAGCCATAAGGCGCCGTGGTGAGAGAACGTAGGCCAGCCCACTCGCACGGCTGCATGTGGTACAGTATAACTACGAAATTCTCTGGGGCATATCAGGACGTCCACGCAAGTCGTTCTTTTGCCTATGTACGGAACCCGATTAACTTTAAACTCAATCCACGAACCTCTTTGTTTCATAAATAAGTACCACCCGCCGCCGACCCTCTGAGAAATGCAGTATCGAATCGACGTCTGACTGGGTTTGCTCAATTACGGGTCTCAGTCTTGGACTCTTTCGTCCAAGTCAGCTTTTCAGTTGCGCGCGCGTTCTTCAGATGCGAGTCATATCTGGGATCTAGAAATATAAAATTAAGTCGGCCTCAAATACGTTCGATTGACTCGACCCCGAAGACTATTACGTCGTCGCTTGATTTCAGGGGGGGGGGGGGCATGGAAATAAGTGCCCAAATATGTGACTGGCTAAAGTGTCCCATAAGTATGCCAAAAGTCCGGCTGTCCCAATCTGCTATACTTTAAGAAAGCTTTATGTATACCTTTTACGAAAGTACAAATAAAAGTGTCACTTCGATATACTTATTTCCATGCGCGCGCAGGGGGGGGGGGGCAGTGGCTTGCACGAATTTCGGATTTCGATGTAGAATTAATTCGTTTAAATTTCGTTCCAATGCTACCAGGAGGAGTGCCTATAGTCCTTATTGCGCCTTGTTGGCTTCTTCCCGGCCCCTTGCTTCTATTCCCGTACAGCAGCTTGTTGTTACAGGCAATGCGTGGACGCCTTGTCCTAAGGCGGACCCGAACCTCAACACATGCATAACGAACTCGTTGGAAAAGTTTCTTCCACTTATGAAGAAAGGTAACAAAGTGTATCATAAAAGTATTTTTTTCATGCGCCTGCAAGGTGATTGCAATTGCATTAATCACGTCGCCACCAGGAATTCCCCAATTTGACATTCCCGTACTGGATCCGTTGGTTTTGGGGGACATGGACTTCTCGACCAAGGACCTCAAGATGATCTATAAGGGCGCCAAAATGTCGAAGCTCTTCACGGACTACAAGATCGTCCTCGTGGAGTAAGTGATCCTCCAGCACCCCTACCCACTCCCTTACCGTCTCTGCACTATCACAGCAAATGTATCTTATATCTGTACCGGTGTCCTATCCTAACGCGTTGTGCATCCACAGGTTCGATCCCGACAAATACACGATGCGCATGAACCTCAAGGTTCCCGAAGTGATATCCGAGGGCGAGTACGAGCTTAACGGCAAGCTGATGGTCATGCCCGTCGTTGGCAAGGGCGGCTTCACGCTCACGTACCGTAAGTTTCTGCGCAGTGGCCCGGGGGCGGCGGGGGGAGTGGCCATCCTATTCCTATGTCTCTTTAGAGCCCCTCCCCCTCCCCTCGCCTCAATAGGGACTGCCCTGCCGACAACTTCCGGTCGGAGGCGGCGCGAGGCGAGGCGGCGCGGGACTCGTTGAGCTGATCGGGCGACGCCGTCGTGATGTCCCCGTAGAGATGCACATGAGCTGCTTCTGCAACGGCCGGGCCCGAGCTACAAAACGCGCAAAACCAGCTCAGCAATATTTAATATCTTTTTACTTATTTTATTTAACGATGGACTTTTTTTCCCATTTTCCCCGACGTAGAGGATGTGTCATTTGATTTGACGTTCCTCGGCAAGTCTAAGACAAAGGACGGCAAGCCCTACATGGAACTCAATGAAGCTAAGGTCGTGTTCCAGCCGGGAAATCTTATCGTGAAGGTGGACAATCTTTTCAACGGAAACAAGGAGCTGAGTCAGTATTCGTCATACTATGCCTCGTCAATCTTTTATCGCGCCCTTTGTGACTATCCATGTTTTGTCTGGCTTTACTCAGGTGACAACTTCCACAAATTTGTCAACGAAAACTGGCGGGATATTTTCAACGAGTTCAAGGACAAGATCTGGGGATCTATGGCTGCATTCTTCAAGCAGACCTTTACCAAGATGTTCGATGAAATACCATACAACGAAGTCTACACCTTCTGATTTCGAAGGCGGAAACGTACTTTTACTTTTAGGCATTTTTACTGTTGCTCTGGTGCCACTTTGCTGTAGTGGTGAAAAAGACGCGTGCTAGTCCAGCGTGGAAGAGGCCCGTTCGACCTCGGTCACGCAAACATTGGATCTTTCGCGCTGCGACAGCCGGACAGAGACGAAGGCCCGGTGGACACGACTGTTCGCCACCAGGAACCCGAGCTCCGCACCAGGCGACCGGCTTCCAGCACTCAAATGTATCAATAAACGCTTTCATATCCGAGTACTCATCGGTCTCCGTTTTATTTCTACTATTTTCCACCCCGGGGACCACCGTAGGGCCGTGCGGCTCCGCTGACAGCTGTCCCATCCACTTAACAGCTGATCAGCCCTCGCGGGTCCTGGTCCTGGCGGCCCCGCTTCGCCCTGCCCCGCCCCGCAGCTGCACAGCTGGGCCGCTGTCCAGTGTGGCGAGCACCACCTCTGGGGGAACGTCGCACGGGCCGGCACCGCGGGGATGTAGACGGGCGCAAACAAAGCTGAGAGAGAGGCGGTGCATTGCCGCGCCCTCGGCGCTGGACGACAGCTCGGGGAGCTCGGCACCCTCCCCGGACCTGACCCAACTCAACGCTTCGCTTCACTGCAGGGGGAGCGCAGGTAACCGCGCTGCTCTGCATGTTTAGGTTCCAGAGGCGAGGGCAGGGTACAGCAGGCACAGGTGTAAGGGGAGGGGGGGGGGCTGACGGCAGCTGATGGTAAATGAGATGCTGATAAGGCGAGGCGCATGTGTCTCAGGTGGCAGAGTCGAGTCGTCAGCATGTGACACCCGCCATGGACCGACCCCATGCCTCGGACCAGGACGCCCCGGCGGCCGCCACGGAGGAGGGCACCTTCGGCGCCCACAGCCCCCCAGCGCCCCGTGTGGGAGCCCCCCGCGGGCAGGGGCTCGGGGTGGGTGCGGGGCCGCGGGGGGCGGTGGTGACCCCGGAGGGCGGCCGGAGGCAGTCCAAGATGGGATCGGCGATCGACGTGATCTGGAAGTCTTGGGACGACCTGGACCGCGGCGACAACCCTGACGACGGCCTCGGCGGTCCCGGGGGCGTGCCCGGACAGGGTCCGGACGTGGACACGGCACTGCTAGCGGCGGCCGCCTCCAGGAAGGCGCGTCTCTCGCCTTACTCACCGACGCAGCCGAGGTCACCGTTCCACCCCCGCCGCCCGTCCACCACGCTGTGGGACCTCAAGGACGCCAGGTCCAGCCTCTCCACGCCGCGCTCGCCGCTGTCACGGAGCCCCCTATCCACCGGCCTGGGGGCGGCGGCGGCGGCCGCGGCGGCCAACCTGGGCGCGGAGCACACGGGCATCAAGGTGTACCGGCGCCGCTGGCTCATGCTGGCCATCTTCGTGTTCCTCGGCATCACCAACACCTTCCAGTGGGTACAGTACTCCATCATCGCCCGGATCGTGCAGCGCTACTACAACGTCAAGTCGTTCTACGTTGACCTGACCTGCACGTCGTACCTCATCGCCTACCTGCTCTGCTTCATCCCCGCGTCCTGGTACTTGGACAGGCACGTAAGTATTGCAAACTCAGTCCTCTCAAAGGACATCGTGTAATGTGCTGAGGGGTTCCTGCGGATTCCACTCGCTTGAAATCCATGCCATACTGTACCGCGTACAGGCATGTGCCATGCGTGCAGGTTGCCTGTCCACAACGAGGGGGAAACGACTGAGGTAATCCGGCGGGTGTAATCTAAAGGAAATCGAAAAAAAAATCGGGGTAGCCCGGTGAAATTTTAGGGTAATCCGAGGTAAACTTAGAGAAAAGGCAACGTAATCTGGATGATACTCCAGAGGTAATTCGGATAATCTGTAACCCGGCTGACACAAAGTTTAACAGTAGTTTCCTCCTCGGGCCCACAAGGATCCGACCAGAAAGTACGCCCGTTTTCCTCAGATTCGCTCGGCAAATTAACTAACTACGGGAGCTCGGCGCCTGTGAGACTCAGGGT